ATAAAAATTAAATTAAATTAAAATACACAATTAATAAGTATATTAATATTAAATTAACAAGTATAATTTTAATTTTGAAAGTAATGTTACATCAATTGTATAATTAAATACACAGGGTATAGCAAAAGTACCGGAACGGCAAGATAACTCGGCGGGGGAGCATTCTAGAGAAAAATGTTTCAGACAAAAATTGTAAGGCTTAAAAAAAACGCATTCAACGATAGTAGTTATTTGACATAGGATGGCGTCGCCAAGGTCAGAACAAGGTCAACTTTGCTTTTTTAAATAGAAATACATATTTTTTATTACGGCATTTTATTCAACGTAAAAACGCAAACAACTTTTGCTTGAAAAAATTTTTTATACGACGTCTATTTTCTAAGATATTTACGTAAATATCTACAAGATTATTGGTTTCAATAATTTTTTACTTGAATTCTATCAACTTTAGCGGAAAATATGAAGAGATAAAAATTATATATTTTGTTCTCATAGAGCTCTGAGAATTTTTTCAGAATTTTATATTAACTTTTTAGTACTTTATTTTCTTACATTTTCTCGCTCGGGCGAATCAGCGATGGTCACGGTGTGATGCCAAACAGAAGACTCGGCCCATACACTGTTTAATATTTAAGAGTCTAATTTAAATCAGTTTCTTGACTTCAATAATATTTAGTTACTTTTAATTATCATGTGTATCGAAATTTACTATTTTAACACAAAACATTGTGTTTAAGTTAAATTATTTAACTCCATTATCTTACTTATCTTAGTTAAATTAACGACATATTTAGTAGGAGCAGTGGCAACTTATAGGAATAGTTAAATTACTCAAATATATTAATTTGACATTACGGATTTAACAGTGCACGTACACAAGAAGCAGCCATGCATGCGCGTACATTATACATGTATGTTGACAGTTCAAGCGCTAAGCGTACTTGGCTCTTCTTTCTGTACATAGAAGCCGCGTGCCCAGCATCGCTGCCGTGACGGTCCCTGTGAAAAGAATAACGCGTGCACGAGAGAAAGAGATGGGACGTCATATATCTATCTCCTTCTGTTACTCGTCGCCCGACGTTCAGAGCGCACACGTACACGGACGCATATACGGAGCTTTCCATTTCCATATGCTAGCAAACGGCCCACCTCTCTGGCGCTATGAAATTGACCCGCGAGCAATCGTCCATTTTCTTCGCCGGCCGCAGCGAGCCGTATGTCCCGTCCGTCGCGTCGCGCGCTCTAATTTGTCCAACTATTTTTATTAATATCTCGAAATTTTACGTGGTTGTTTGAAAAATGACCTCTACAATTTTTGTTCAGTTTTATCTGTTCTACTTATATTTTTCTTTTGGCATGTCTTATGCGGGACACCCTGTATATCTACGCAGAAGTTCACGTCCTCTCTTTGTTTCTCTTTTTCTGTTTTCTTCTTCTATGTTTTGATATCGACTCGAATAAAGTCACAATCGATAATAAAGTTTGTAGTCAGTGTCGATGGAAAAGTTTCCCAGGCATATAATGATACATAATTTATTCTAATAGAATGCCACACGCCTTACCATTTGAATGAAATACAAAAGGTCAGGATTAATTATTGAAATCCAGCATATCAGGATTAATAATTCAGCTATGTCAGTAAAATCTACAGCCTATATCTGTTTGACGCAAGTGAATTTTCATGTCGGTTTTACCGTTGAGCAATTCTTCAATATGCAAGATTATTCTCGTGATATGATACTACGATAAATTCGATTTTGACAAAAGAAAACCTATCGCTAAATCAAGCAACACGGTAGTGTCGCGAAGTCAAGTGCAAGCGCGAAGCATTGGCGGGCTACCGTGTTATATTATTTATTACGCGACCGCTTTAGTTGAATGTAGGCTAAATTTTCGTTTCGGCTATAACGGTTGAATTGACGAAGTTATGGAGGGATTTAGT